CATACAAGCTGTAGAAACTTAACCAGATTCTTTGACAGTTTAGAGGTCAAGATTTAGTAACATTCCCTGGAATTACTTTACCAGTAACTGTTGCAACTTCAGCCAAAAAGGCTTGCTGATTAAGGCTGCTTGTTTCTGAATCTAAATGAAGTGTTGTTAGGCTAGCCACTTCCTGCTCCTCAGTGCTCTGATGATGGCCAGAACCTGAATCCATATCAGCAGAGGACGGAATCCCAATGTCAGTTCCAAAGCCAAAGTCTGTAGGAAGAAGAAATGCTAGTACTACAGCAACACAATAATCAAATATTCACATTCTCCCTAGTCTACTCTTTGCATTACATTCTGGCAAGGGTAAACAGTAGAAAAACTCTGAAAATCTCAACTAAAAACATTTTAAAATTGTAATAGCTTATTATTAGTAATAATTATTTTAAAATGTCATTCTTATGTAGTTTCTGATAGCTGGTAATACTCTTACTACTTTTTAAGTAGTTTATAAATCTGTCTGTCTGTCTCTCTCAAACATATATCATTATCTCTTAAAATGTCAGTTGTTTGAGCTCAGGATAGTATACAATCAACCCATAAAAAAAAAAGGAAACATACAACACTCCAATGTACCTCCTCGCTCTTCACAAACCTGATTCCCAAAGGTTTTTACTTTATTCTCTGAATGCCATGTGTGGTGAGAATTTCAGCATCGTAATGATGCAGTGACACATAGTATCAAATAAGAGCTGCTGCTATTTAATATGGAGGAATATTCAAGGAAGGGTCTGGGTAGAACAGAATTGGACAGCAAGCATCAAATATGAGTGCATTAAATCACAGCATCTCATAACCATGCTGGCCCTTTATTTTAACTCCATTCTACATAATTTTTCTTTTCACATCTTTTGTCTTTATTATGTAACTTATGATGGACAGTGGTTTTGGTTTTTTAAAAATTCCCCCCCTTTTTTTCCAAAGTAAAATGGTCTCAACCTGAGATGATTCCCTAAAACTTTAGAATTTGTGAAGTCAACATACAGGGTAACAGCTACCCAAGTAACAACAGAGAGCAAAGTAAAAGATATACAACCCACAGAAAACAACAGACAGAAAGCATATAATCCAACAGTAAAAGATACTTGCTGTCAAACTTTCGTCCGTCACACTGGAAAGCACTGAAAGAATCCGAATGACTATCCGAGCTCATAAGATCACTGCTCCCTGCACTGGCAGGAGATGTCCATTCTGAGGGTACACCTGGGTCATCAACAGGACGCATCTGGTTCTGCTTGTTTAGAATGTCAGGGAGGTCTTTCGGAATTTCAAGGCTGCCTGGACTACTTCCCCTTCTTGTCATAGTCTAAAACAAGAAACATTTTTATAATTAAAATCTTGTTTTTAATTTTAATTAAGTACCGAAACCTTTAGTTTTCAAGACAATCATCATTATAAATGCTGATAGTTAGGACCTCAGTTGGAAAGGAAAAACATACTTGTTGAACAATCTAAAAAGTATGTAATGACATGTACCTGATGCCCAAGCTACTGTAGTTCTACTTAAAGCAAAGGCCTGAATATCAGGTGAGATGGTGCTGGGTCTAAGGCTCTTAAACAGAAGAAAAATAAAGTTCACAGTGGAACAAAGAAGCAAACCGAAGAGACAGTAAGGGAAAAGATAGCAAAGATGTCATTTTCTGATTCCAAAATAATTCTTACTCACTCAAAGAAAAAACTCAAATAAAAGGAATGTAACAGTTGTAGATAAATTAAAACCCAATGGAATATGACAGTTTTTAAAAGCAATTCTGCAATTGAGAATTAGAGATAACATTAGCTTCTACTTTCATTCTGATATTTAATATTTAAGATAAAAGGTAAATTTTAACATCGATTCGATTCTAGAGTAATCACAATTGTTTAAGCGATATTTATGATATCAAAACTGGGCTAAGTGACTTCTGTATTCTTTCCTATTGACAGTTAGCAGGTGATACCAACCTCGAAAGAAAGTAAAGGGAACTAGGAAGGAAGCAGCTTACAACTACTAATAGAAGTCCAGTGTATCTGTAGTGAAAGCTACAAGCTTCAATGTTTTATGTCTTTGAATAAAAACAGTAATTAAAAGAATTTTAATTTAAATCTCTCTCATCTCCCTCTACTTCCCCCCTCCACTTCTGGGATCTGACCTAAGGATTTATGAACGCCAGTCAAACACTGTATTTATCACTGAGGTCCAGTCAGCTCTCTTTTGACTTTTTATAAGACTGGGCCACACAAGTTGAACAGGCTGGCTTTGAACTTACATTGTACCCAGGCAAGGCCTTGAACTAGCTAGCTGTCTTCCTGCCTCAGCCTCCTGAGCAGCTGGGTAGAACTTTGTAACAGCTTTAAAGCGTTGTAAGGATGAAGGATGACAAACAGGGCAGAAGCAAGAACTACCTCTTATAAGCTGTCCTCACATGCATGCTATGGCACACATGCACCCACATATATACACACATAAAACAAATAAATTCACGTTAAAATGCTTTAATTACCTCACAAGTCAGGGTTAAATTTCAGGAAATTAAGTTTTGAATAAAAATCTCCACATATACATTATACCTATCTTTTTAGTTTTCTATCTTTGTTTCAAAAGCCCAATGAATTAAACAAAAATCGAGCTCACCGAGGCATTCCCACTTCGAAGCCGCTCTGCTATGAACTCATCCATCAGGTCAGGAACATTAGCACTGCTGCCGCCAGTGTCACTATTAAGAGGAGGCAGCTTGGGGCTCGTGTCCTCTTTATTTACTAGAAGCAAATAAATAACTAAATATAATAAGCAACAACTTAACTGTATCTTCTAAATTTGAAACAAAATAATCCAAAATAAAGTACCTCTGCCATATCAATTATTTGCCAAACATGCACTTACGAATAATTTCCCTCCTTTCAGATTTAATTTTTAAGAATTAGTAAATTGTATTTACTTTATTTAACTAAGCAGATGTTAGTCAATCTTCAGTATGACCTTAAACAGCAAGAAAGCTAGAGGTAAGCACTAGTTGAAGTCAGGGTTAATATTGCCTATAAAGAAACTGGTATATTTTTTTTT